AAATATTCAACCCCAACGAAATATGCGAAGAATTTAATGAACATTTCATAAACGTTGGACCAAAATTAGCAGCAAAGATTCCTATTTCATTTAAAATGGGAATTGACAAATTAAGTTCAAATTCAATGTACTTAAAACCAACAGATGATGAAGAAATTGAAGATATTATAAACTCCTTAAATTCAAGAAAATCTCCAGGTTTTGATAACATTAGTGTAAGCATTGTAAAGACTGTTAAATATGAAATATCATCGATCATTTCAAAATTGATAAATTTATCTTTTTTATCAGGGATTTTACCTGAAAAAATGAAAATAGCGAAAGTTAAACCAATTTATAAAAGTGGATCAAAGGATGATATGGAAAATTATAGACCTATTTCCTTACTACCAATCATTTCAAAAATAATGGAAAAAACAATGAATAACAGACTGCATGATTATTTAGAGGCAACAGAATATCTTTACAACCATCAATATGGCTTTCGCAAATCTTGTGACACAGAGTCAGCTGTTTTGGATGTTGTGACAGAATTTCAAATGCAACTAGATGCTAATAAGATGTGTGGACTTCTGTCAATAGATCTTCGCAAGGCATTTGATACTGTGAATCATGAAATTCTCCTCAATTTGTTATACCAACTTGGCATAAGAGGTATAGTTCATAAATGGTTTCAAAATTATTTGAGTGGTAGAAAGCAATTTGTTTATCAAGGAACAGTTTCAAGTACAGCTAATGACATTATATGTGGAGTACCACAAGGGTCAATCTTAGGCCCTGTTTTATTTTTGATATATATCAACTCGATTGTTAACATCAAATTGAAAGGAAAAGTTTACATGTTCGCTGATGACACTACATTGATTTATTCCGCAGACTCAATCCAACAAATCAGAAATGCAATTGAAAGTGACTTGATTATTTTATCTTCATGGTTGTCCTATAATAAATTGAGTATAAATTACAGCAAATCAGCATTCATGTATATCTCTAAACGACGCCTCTCAAGTGAACTGAAATTTGATATCAAATTTAATAATGAAATCATCAAATATTCCACAGCCATCAAATTCCTTGGAATATTCCTTGATGAACATTTGTCATGGTCCAAACATATTGAATCGATCAGAAAGAAAATATCTCCAGTAATCGGAGTACTCTACAGGATCAGACACCAAATCACTTTGAAATACTTGAAATGTATATATTTTTCCTTGGTTTATTCAAAATTACAATACTTGATTTCAGTTTGGGGTACAGCTAGATTATCAATCATGAAGCCAATCAAAATCCTTCAAAACAAAGTTATTAAATGTATATACAAACTAGATTACTTGGAACCAACAAGAAATCTTTATAAACCTAGGCAATTGTTAGATATTAACTCCATTTACAAATTCAAAATATTAAATTTCATCCATTCCGTCAAATATAATCATAAACATTCAAATCTGAATTTTGAAGTCAATAGTCATAAACACGAACACATAACCAGACAAAAAGATATGTTAACTCTCATCAAAATTAAATCAGATATGGGTAAAAGATCTATTTTATACAATGGAACAATTCTCTATAATGAATTACCTGCCAGACTAAAGAAAAAATTAAGTGTTGAAAAATTCAAAAAAAAACTGAAAAAATACTTATGTCTTTGATTCTCTTCATGTCATCCTGAATCAATTCAAGAAATTATATTTAACAGTCTCTAGAAGAAACAACATTATATGTATTATGTATATGATTTAAAAATGATTATCTGATTATCTATTTTTTTTTTTTTTAGTTGCTCTTTCATAATTTTCCCTGCTATAAACATGTATGTTTCTTGGGAATAATAATAAAGATAATTAATAGACTAAGATCATCCCATTGCAGTGTCACAGAAAACCTGCACAGAATAGGAGTCAGCGAAAGCACCAGATGTAAGAGTGGAGAAATAGGAACAATCCAACATGTGCCACTAAAGTGTCCTGAGAATTCACCACTGTGACGAGCTGTACCATTCCATAGTCAAGAAAGAACCGTCCCCAATTAACGCAAATAGCATAGTGTGCACACCAACATTTCTCAAAGTCAAAGCGGTGAGTAAATTTTTGAAAAATAGTAATATTAAAATATAAATAATTGATAGATAACTACAAACTACCCTGAAAGAAATAGGTAATCTAAAGAGGAAGAAAAAAAACAGGAAGAGTATGGTGAAAAGCCAGACATGCCACAAGGCAAGCTCTCCCTGAGGAAAATGGAACCAACAAAAAAATAGATGATGGTTGTGTCGAGAGACGAAGGCCAGTAAAGAAGGAAGAAGAAGAAACATACAGAAAACAGCTGTTTTATACTGGAGGTTGTGTTTCGATTCACGGGAATTGAAATTTTGGTATGTTGCTGGATCCCCAGCGGAAATTCAAGAGAGAAGACAGTTCCATGGTACTGCTAACGTAAGTAACGTTGTAGAAATGGTAACAGTTGTCCCTACCTTCATGACGAGCAGAGTGCATTCCAGGAGGTATGCGGTTTAAGGTGGGAGCAGTGTAATGATATTACTCTGTGAGGAGCTACAACATCATCAAGAAGGCAGAACTACACTGATCTCCCTGTACCACGCGTCCCAGACTGTTCTCGAACATCCTCCCAATAATTATAACATGTATCAGCATATTTTCAAACACCCAATACGTATCGTAGCGACGGAAGATTCTCGAAATATCTCGAAACAATCGATTGAACTGCCAGAGAGGAAGGTAATGTTCTAAGAATTAGAGTCACTGGATGGTATTAGTTAGATAAGAGTTCAGACACAGCTGAACTTTTGTCCTTCTTCATTTTCTATATTACAATGGTTTGAGTGACTGAAATGATAAGACATATATTCTGCTCTTTGTATTTGCAATTTCCCTAGTAGCGCCTGATTGTCAGATACGATTTTAGAGGTTAGATTTTCTGTCAAATCATTCAAAGCCATAGATGAATAGAAACCGGGTATAAACACCTACTTCAATTTATAGCGATACATTTTTCGCAGAAAAACAGTTATAAATATGAAAAGAATGCATGCATGCAACATTTTAATATGATGAAATGAAAACATATGGTTATACTAATAGCTAGTTCCTTTATTGTTTGTAAAACTGTACCAGAATGATAAAGTTTAAAACATAAAGATTGTTTTGATTTGCCATCTTTTGCAATTTACTTGATTTCCTCAGCTTTGTTCTCTAATACTCAATTTCATTATGTAGTTTTTCAATCAATTCCTCTTTCCCAATGATAATTTTGGTTCGGATTTTGTGCCATGATAATATTGGAATTATTTTAAATAAATAGTATGTTTTGTGAATTGATGGAATAGCAGATTCTCTCAAACGGTTCTTAATATGTAGTAATGTGTCTCTTATTAGCTTAGAAGAGTGTTTAAATTTCAAGTAGATTTTAAAATGTTATGGTGTTATGATAGCGATTTCCTCTAGTTCTAGTTTTGATTTTAATTTTTTTAAGGTTATTATTTTGACTTACTTTGTCAATGAGATTTTACATCTTTAGACAAAAAAGCATATTATCTTGTCTCAAGTTGGCCATGAAGGGGTGCGAAGCCTCAACTCGACGGATTAAATCTCGCGGGGACTGCCAAGGGAGGAACAATCGTTGATATTTCAGAAGAACATCATCCATGAAAATATCTATAAAATAGAGCCAGATCGCCAACTTTCCTACAGTGTTCCAGAGAAGTGTTTGTGCGCGAGGCATCACCCATGAGACGAATTTCCCTTTTTTGAACAGAATCCAACAGTTTCATGGTATGTTTGGGTGCTGCACTCCAAATATGGGAACAGTATTCTAGGACAGGTCGGATATGTGCCTTATAGATCATAAGCAGCTGACTGGAAGTAAAATAGCTCCTGGCCCGAAACAGAAAACCAAGTTTTTGGGATTCACTTTTAGCAATTGATCTCATGTGATTTTCCCAAGAAAGGTTATTGCTAATAGTAATACCAAGCCTCGTAATAGATGTCTTCAAAGGTATGGTTACTCCTGACAAGCTTATGTATGTACCTACTTCAGAAAATTTTGCTTTTTGCGTTTTTCTCAACAGTTTATGAAATTATATTTCAATTCTGACGTTTATAACATTTATTGTCTGATTCAAACAATTTTGAATGAAACAGCGCGGAACGACTATGGAGCTCTTGTCACAATGCAAGGCAGGTAACTTAATAAATCTAAACATTCTAAAACACTAACAGTTGTCATTTTTGTTTCCGAAATCTTATCTAACTAATACCATCCACGAATGACTACTAAAAATGTAGGATACGGAAGATGATTGAGAACGTTCGAGAAACCACAGCCCGCCAAGGCAACTAATATACAGGGTGTTCCGGAATTACATAGAAAAATGTCAACCATGGCCCTTCTGAGGAGTTATAGCCATCTGAAAGAGGGCCCGAGATGATGGTTTTCTGTAAATATTCCCAAAACCCTCTGTGTTGAGATAACGAAATTTCGTATAAGTATGTTTTATTTCATGCCCGATTTTGAAATTTTGAGTTCTCCAAAATGTTTATCAGGGCGTGGGAAATAGGTGAGGGTATATATTTCTCCAACTTATAGCATCATTTTTACCTAAAAATAATACACCTGTTTAGCACTCACCATTTTCGTTATAAATCGATTTTGAAAATCTGCTGCAATGCTACAATGATATTTTTCAAATTATTATTTTCATTGCGCCTCTCATAATTTGAAAAATATTTTTTTCGAAAATTTGCTACCTTATTATAAGGAAGATGCACTATTTTTGTTATGCAGCAGGCTCTTATCGATTTATCTAGAAAATGGTGAGTGCTATCGAAACTGAGCAAGAGAATTATTTTTGAGTAAAAAACCAAAAGGTTAACAAAATTTTCGAGTGTGATCTAGTAGAGTATATATTATCAGATCTTTGTCATAATCCTAACAACATGTTTTGTAATTACTGTATTTTCTCAAATAGTACTCACCTCTTGCCGATACTGGATACCACATGTACCCTTTTGCCCATGTCTGGAAGCAAATTTGTCACCAATCTGTGGGATACGTACTGATCTCACCCTAATCTTGCAAAATTTGTATCCTTCTGAATTGAGAGTCAACATAACCTGATCAACAACACCAGTTTCACTATTACGCAAGAAAGTTGAAGCATCTCTCTTGGTGAATTTCTTTGTTGTGCCATCCAACTGAAATTTAGAAATTTAGTATCAATTCATCATATTCATGTAATAGTATGATGGACGGGAATTCAAGGGGACTGTTCCAAACATTATTTCCTTCTCAGGTGTTCATATAATATTAATTATGATATACCCAGATACAGGGAACATGCAGAAGACACCAACTGCGTATTTAGGTTTCTAGATGCTTTAGCATCAGACATCGAACTCTGATACAGTTATATCTGTCAATAGCACCAATAGTGATTTTGAAATGAGGACTCAAGGCAAGATTAGTCTTCAGTACTTGGTGTGAACATTAATACCAATCGACAGGGGACTGAATTATTCGAAACAAAATCAAGTGAATAACTCGGTAACCGTTCGTTAGATTTTCGAATTTTTGTACATTTCAGAACATGGCGGATTCGAAAATGTTTGAGCCAATACTGCCACGGTTTTAGTTTTTCTGAAATTCTTGTCAAGCTCATTATTTCAAACGGCACACCCTATATATATATATATATATATATATTAATAAATTTCGAGATAATTTTTCAGCAAAACCGTTGATATTTTATTTTTTATTTTTATTTTTGAAAACAGATATCTCAACAAAATAAACTAAGTAACCAAAGAATCAAAACTTACTAAAGCTCATGTGTTCACCTGATTCAAAATTCCCACAACAGACATCTGACAAATTTCATTAAAAAACATAGGATATGATATATTAACCTCTAAACATGGACCATGAAAAAAAAAAAGAAATCTGAATATGCTATAATTTGGGAGGTATGTAATTATGAACAATACAAGATCATAACCAATAATTGTGGTGACACCTATCAATTCTTCGAGAATTTTTGAAAACTATCAAGTATTTCAAGAATTACTTATATTTGGTAGTCTATCGTTGCTCTAAATAGAGTGATTGAAATTCACAGAGAGAAGAAAGCTGCAAGTAATCTCCAAAATATTAAATTAAATATTATTAAACAACATTTTTTAACACAAGGGGAGAAGTATAATATAACTTGGTCAAAAACATTTCAGAATTACGAATTCGTTAAACTGACGAGAGGTCCTAGTTTTACCAACCTCGTCATCATTTTCCGGCAATGTCATTGTCTTTCCAATAACTACATCGTCTCCAGATACACGAATACCAGGTGATATTATACCATCATCATCTAATTTGTCATATAGAGCGTTTCTCATTCCTTGGCAAGTTTGCCTTGTTGGTTTCTCAAATTGTTCTTCCTGATCTCCTATTCGTTTGGACTCAGCATCTTTATATGAACGGTAAAACACAGATCTGAAACGGAAAATAAGAATGAATGAATCAAATTCACGTTGAAAAATGAAAACACAACATGAATGACGACATCCGATAAAATTATACAGAAAGCAATAGGTTTTGATTATTTGATTAATATTTGAACATTTCAATAATTGAGCTGATATTATTCAAGAAGCTATGCCTAGATTCGGAATATTAAATTCCATAATCTTTGGGAGGATTCAAAGTCTATGATATCAGTAGAAAACCGACTCTTCCGTATCTGGTCCAATAAAATGGTATTTGCACGTGGACAAAATTCAAGTATTCGATTTCTCTGCGGTTTTATATGTCTTTGGGGATGCTGAATCTGAACTTTGCAAACAAAATTTCCTGGAGCGTTCCGAGATATTCGCACTTTTTCAAGTGTTTTGCCCGTAACTCGGAACTATACATTTTAGCGAAAAGACCATCCTATAAAAAGTTTAAGTAGATGGAACTTCCAATATACAATTGAGCTTGCTCATGAATGAAGGACTAACGGGTGTGGAGCTAGAGCAAGTTGAAAATAGATCAAATTTATATATTTTGCAAAAACTACTGTTCTTCGTCGGGTCCTCATAATTCAGAACCTACGCATTTGAGGAAGAAACAAAATACACTGCCTGATGTGGAGGAGTCCTGGCCACGTGGGTTATTGCTTTTGTCAGCTTGTAACTCGATTCATGATTTGGTCACAGTAGTTAGGGAATCATGTTTTTCACACCTGCCACTTGTTATTCGTTAGCGGAAGGAAACAAACCAACTTTTTCTCATGTATACCACCAGATAGAGGATAAGAGTACCATGGAGGAAACACGATCTGCTCCACCTACACCATCATCACCTCCAGAACCGGATCCATACCATCATCTAATTGTCTTTTATATACCTGATGGAATTTTCTTGATCGTTAAATTTTCCACCTCTGCAGGCGTTCGGTAGATCTGTTCAAGGTGATTCAGCCTTCAGCGGACCAGAACATTACATGCATAAGCAAAGTATGTGTTCCGCGGTTTAGGTCACGTTGTGACAAATGCGGCAAGTTAAAGCCTCCACTAGGCCTATATTTTTCAGTAACACGGGCAGTCCTTTACCTGATTTGCTGATACTCAGTAATTGTTGATGACCTTTTTTGTTCTGACCTTGAATTGCTCACCGAGGCTCTTTCGCTCTCTTTCCATTTCCTGAGCTCTGCGATTAGATGACATTATTTGCTTGTTCACAGAAAGTCTCTGGTCCAAAGGAAATAAAATATGAAGTTTTTTTGCTAGGCGATCAGCTGCCTCACACGATGGAACCCATGCACATAAAGCCAAGATTGATTTCAATACTTATTCATCATAAAATGAATAATTTGACAGTTTGAATAGTTATTATCCATTTTTCATCAAAATCTATGAAGAATAGCTACATCAATCAGAATTATTTCAATGCAATTATACCAACTGTAATTCCAAATAGAAATAACAATTTTTCATGTAATCCTTACCACACAAGATACAAAAACAAAACTATTATCTCTTATACGTTTCAGAAAAATACAGGTAAAAGGTAAATTAGACGAATCAAACAAGTGGAAGGGATGAACTTGATTGTGACTACGACCAGCATACGTCTTCAAACCTGAGCGCTCTAACATACGTTCATATTCGCATATTAACGAACTTTACATGAGCTCTATAGGAAATTCGATGCTGTTTGTGTATGATATATTTTGTAAATTATGAATTATCTACGAAAAACCAACCAAGAACGCTATTTTTTGCAAAGTAACCAACTTTGATCAATTTTTAACTTGCTCTAGCTTCTCACTTTCTAGTCACAAGCAAAAACTATGAATGTAATGTACTAGTCCGCCAATGGCTGACTCACCTAGAACAGGTTTACCTGGAAGGAAGAAAAACTTAACCATCAAGAAATCCTGAGTTTCACCAGAAGTCTAGGGTTATAGATGATCATTAGTAGATGAGGATAATCCTTACAATCTACAATCTAATCGTTGCTACATCGTCGTTTGGTGGGGGGCTGGTACCTTGAAGGATCCAGTTCTGGAGGTATGGTGATGGCGCAGGTGGAGCAGATCGTGTTCGCTCCAGGGTACCTTCATCCTCTATCTGGTGGTATATGAGAGAAACTTGTTTTTTCCTTCCGCTAACGAATAACAAGCGGCAGGTGTTGAAAACAATATTATACCTATTTGATGTGAATATACCCAAGTACTGTGACAAATCAAGAAACGCCGTACACGCTGACAAAGGAAATAACTCATATGGCCAGGACTCCTCAACATCAGGCAGTGTATTTTGTTTCTTCAAGAAATTCGTAGATTACGAATTATTTACAAAAACCGACGAAAAACACTAATTTTTGCAAAATATGTAAAGTTGGTCTATTTTGCTCTAGTTCCTCACTCGTTAGTCCTACATTCATGAGCAAGGAGAATTATAAATAGAAAATTTTATTTACTTCAACTTTTCATCAGGTGGGTTTTTCGCTTAAATGTCTTGTTTCTGAGTTATGGGCAAATAGCTGGAAAAAGTGCGGAAATTTCGCTGTTTTTTGCGAATATCTCGAAACGCTCTAGGAAATTTTGTTTGCAAACTTCAGAATCAGCCCCCCCAAAAACATATAAAACCATAGAAACAGATCCACAAGAGGATCTTCATCGTTACCGATTTCACTGAGCTAATCAGAAAAGGTATATGGATTTGAATAATCTCTTACAGTGTGCTAGGATAGTATATGATCGTTTCTCTTGCCAAAATACTCAATGATTGTCTCAATCCCAAATTCGAAATTATCAACAGTCAAAACTCGAATTCGTAAAATCTTTCAATGAATTATAATCCTCACCTAAAGAAGCCCCTCTCTACAGCCGAAGCATTCAAAATAACGGAATCCTCTTGATTGTACCCAGTATAACAAGCGATAGCAACGATACTGTTAATACCAGCCGGCAGTTCTCTGAACCTGAGGTACTCCATAGATCTTGTAGTGACCAATGGCTTATGTGGGTAATACAGCACATGTGCTAGGGTGTCCATTCTCACATGGAAGTTTGTTATGTATACTCCCATAGCTTGTTTACCTGAAATATTTTATTTCTGTAACTGTATTCTGTATTTATTCTGGAATCTCACACGGGCGGATTCAGCGTTTGGGTCAGGGTCAGGGGTGGGCCACAGCCATAGCCGTCTACAGAAATTTTCTCAAGAAGGGTCAAGATAATTCAGATATTAATGCCCTAGGCAGAATTTTTTGAGGATATTGATGGCAAATGTTTTTAATGGTAAGTTCAGACTCTATTAGGAGAACTAAAAATGAGGATTCATGAATCGAGTTCAGCATCGAGGAAAATGAGTAAGAGGGTCGAGAATAGTTTTCTCTATCGTAGTTTATATCAGTTTTACACTACTGGCAAATATGTTTCCCATGTAAGTTTTTTCTATTTCAAAGTTATCGTGGAATGTCGTTTAGAACTCAGATGAGTGACAGTCCAAATGAGAATCAAATTCAGAGCATTTCAGAGGTTAGATTAACTATTGTTCTCATCATCTAGGAGAAGAACTGACCTATTAAATAACAATCCCTTTTGTATCCTGAGGCGGATATAATGCGGTAGTATTCGCAACTAAATGAAATATAATAATGAATTCCACTACTAAATCATCAACATATTTTAATGATTTATATTTTCAATTCCTTTGATGGAAGCGGTTTTTATATATCAAATAACCTTCAAGTACAGTTGTCAATAGAAGATTGTTTTATTTGGATCAAAAGTGACACTTTGTTTGTTTGACAAGCGAATTTTGCATTTGCGAGGCGGAGCGTTTAGCGAAGCCAAGCGAAAGCAAAATTTGCGAGTCGAACAAAGTCACTTTTGATACGAATGAAACATGCTATTTTTTCTGCAATCGATACGATTAACTCAAATAAATATGTGAAGTTACCACCAATGCCGAGCCGTATGTATGCAATGCAACAAATATTGACAAATAATCCGTGTGGTGAGAACATTCTACCTGGATTAACTGCAGGTCCATCCAAATTCTAAGAATGTTTGAATTGTAGTTTAGATATAAATACAATCACAGATTGACATATTTGTGTATGGACCAGGTGCTCTAATGGCAAATACCACGCCATTGCCAGCTATAGGAACAAGACGTGGAAAATGTTAGGTTAGTGAGCATAGCGATTATTTATTCCCCTCCATAATACAATGTTTTTGTATTGATAATCAAATGAAGGTGAACAATATCGTTGTTTGAGACAAAAAAAACTATTGCTTGTCGTGATTATTCAAAAACAAGTTATCCATCCCAAGAATAACGAATGAAATACAGATCAAGCAAGTATTTGAATCTTGAAGGCTTCTCTGATCAAAACAAAAATGCTTAACTGAGATGTTTATAATTCCAATACTTAACTATAATAAGGTGTATTTATATCTCCAGCATGGGTATGAAATGCCAAATCTGCCGGAATCGGAAACAAATCAGGTGTGCGCCTCAACCCAAATAACCAACCGTAACAATGTTGTTTATTCTTGATGACGACCAGTACATCCTTTTTAGTTCCTAGGAGCTAAAGTTCAACTTCAGCTCCTAGGAACTAAATATATTGCCTAGCAATATACCTATTTTTGTGTCAGTAATAGAAACGTCAATTAAAGAGCTATTTTTTTATCAAAATGGACGACTTTTGTGTCGGTTGCAGAAAAACAATCTTATATTGTGAATTCAATTGAAAAATGGTTGAAAATGTGAGATGAAGTTATGAATCAATCAGAATGCAATGCACTTCAGACTGAGAAGTCAAAAGTCGTCTTTTCACATGGAAAGTCAATGGGCGTGTACACCTTAGTAGAACTTTTAACTGAAACCAAGTTTATAATGATCCTTTTATACATAAATAATGATTGACGACATAATTCGATCGAAAAATTAGCTGAAATGTTTTATTTTTGGACATAAATAATAGTATCTTCTGAAAACGGACCCTCTAATGACGAAGAAACCTCATCTCGCCATAGTTAAAAGAAAATACCAAACGCCCGACGGAGACTGAGGCAAGATATTTCAATTCTTTCAACTGTGATCTCGCGCTAATTCACTCTGTCAGAAATCATGTATCATTCATCCCTGTCTGGAATAGTCTTGTTTCAGTATCAGGGTTTTGACGTCACATCATCGCCTCGTTTTCAGAGGTCCGAAAAATCGGGGATTTCAATAATTTCTTATAAAACGTAGGGAGCTCACAGCAAGGAACGGTGTGCGGTGGTGAGCTAGTTTGGGTGAGTTCTATCGAATTATGAAATACATTTTTTTTTGTGATATAAGCCCATTGTGAAATATATACCGGGTAACACATGCTCATGGTATGCCCCCTTTTTTCCTTTGCTATTCTAGCTATATTTGTGAAGTTTTTTTTCATCTTCCGGTTATTTTAAACGATTACGAAGATATTTACGTTCAGTTTCCATATGCTCAATGGCTGTGACGGCCCAATATCGAAACTTCTTTCTCTGTCACACTCATTGAGCATATGAAAATTTTGAACGCGAATATCTTCGTAATCGTTTGAAATAATCCAATCAAACCCAGTATCCTTGGATTCCTTATAATAATCTCTAATCGATCATGTAAATATAGGGTTTTCCATTTGAAAATAATAATAATAATCTTTATTATTTATTCCCACGGGACATACATGTTAATAACAGGAGAATTAATGAAAGTTAATGTTATTTCCAGGAAATCAAGATGAAAAAAATCTTAAAAAGTGCGAAAGTGCCCTCTAGTGAGCATAATGTTCCAAATTTCAGAAATATTGCTGGAAACACAAAGGAGAAAAGGAGGGTATACCATGAGTCTGTGTCACCCAGTATATTCCAAATGGAAAAATTGACAGTCGTTGATGTTGAAGTGCAAATTTCAATTAATATTATTGTTACTTCAATATGGTGATGCACATTTTGCTCTGCCTATAACTTTCTAGGTAATACGTCACTAGAATGGTGAAGATAAATCTTTTCCTTTTCCCATTTTAACTGAAGAAACATTGTATTCTACACAGGAAATAAGATACATTGAATATTGAGGACTTCCTCAATGAAACCGATTGTGGAATTGTAGGATATTATATTTTGAAGCTGATGTACATACATGTTAGGGATGCACATTCCAATTTAACTTACCCATAGCACTCTGGTAGGTATTTCTGGGACTCTGGTTGTGATCAGGAAATGGAATAATGGAGGCGCAAACTCCTAGGATCATAGCTGGATGGATTTCACAGTGGGTATATGTGGTACAGTAAGCATACTCTTTGTCTTGACGCAAGTCTTCAGGGTTCATGGCAATCATGACAGTTTCTTCTTCAAGAGTATCTATGTATTCCACAACACCTGAAATTCATTTGAACATGCTAAATTCAAAATCTTTTCCACATTTAAATATTATTAGTGGTTGAATAAGCAACATATTTTGGGCTCATTGAGAATGCAAAGGACCCAGCACCACATCAATGAGAAATTGGCTTTTGGTGAATTCACTCGAATTTCTTATATATTTCAGAACTCGTGATGCTGATCAAATGTCTCCATTGCACCAACGCTCTAAAATCAACAATTGAGATTATATAGGGTGATAAAGTTGACTTTTCCAAAATTTTAGATAGAAATTGTGAAGACACCCTTCATAATTTCAAACCCAAATCAACTGTGCATTGATTGTTCAAATGACCGATACAAATCTACTTCGAATTATAATAATTCCAGCACGTACAAACAATATACAGGGTGGGTCGGAACATAGCGAATAATTCAGTGGTTTTCGGAAAAGTGGGAGGTGAAATTCCATTTAAATTCTGTAGTATTCAAATATTATCCCCAATTCGTGATATCAGCATCTCCTAATCAGATATATTATATACAAGATGTTTTATTTTTGATAAAGTCACATCCATGTTTGTTACTTATTATTGGCATCCTTATCATGACTTACAACTTGAACAACCTATTGGGAAACTCGTTCATTCCATGATGAATGTCCACTCTGCAAATATACGTGGAATATACGGAGTGGATGAAAAATCAATGGCCTTTGCTAATAACTTCTCAAGAATAGTATGTACAGATTCTTGTGGTCCATTTTGTCATGAGGACATTTCATTCAATAAAAATAATTTGAACCATTCGATGTAGTATATTTTGAATAATATGCAAGAACGTACTGCAGGTATCAATAATAGGTTGTTCAGGTGATACTGAAACAGTCAACAATAAGAAACAATGAATATACAATTATAATGGATAACAAAATATTCTGATATTCAATCACAACAGAAGTTCTGTACCTTACATAGTGTATTACTTTCATGTTAGGACAAGACCCTCCATTACTATTTTATAAAACGAATTCGTTTCTCGAAATAAAGTAGTTGAATTTATTCAACTTCTTCAACAGTTTCCAGAATACGACTCATCATACTCAATTCGAGAACACCTCAACCCTCAAACAAAAATAATAGTAGTGAACTGTTTTTCATCAATGATTAATTCCAATAAAATGGATCACAAGAATCTGTACATAATATTCTTGAGAAGTTATTAGCATATACCATCGATTTTTCATCCACTCCGTCTATTTAACGTTTTTGCAGAGTGGACTTTCATCATGGAATGAAGGAGTTTCCCAATAGGTTGTTCAAGTCAAGTACATAACATGGATGTGACTTTATCAAAAATAAAACATCTTGTATATAATATGTCAGATTAAGAGATGCTATTATCACGAATTGGGGATGATATTTGTATACTATCGAATTTAAATGAAATTCCACCGCTCACTTTTCCGAAAACCACTGAATTATTCGCTATGTTCCGACCAACCCTGTATATTGTTAGTACGTGACGGAATTATTATACTTCATAGTAGATTCGTATCGGTCATTTGAACAATTAGTGCACAGTTGATTTGGTTATGAATGAAAGGTGTCTTCACCATTTCTATCTAAAATTTTGGAAAAGTCTACTTTATCACCCTATATAATCTTAACTGTTGATTTCAGAGCGTTGGTGAAATGGAGACATTCGATCAGTACCATGAGTTCTACAATATATCGAGAATTCGAGCAAATTCACCGAAAGCCGATTTCCCATTGATGCGGTGCGGGGTCCTTTGTTAGTGAAAAATAAATGTTAATTACAAAATTGGGTTGAAGCGTCCCAAATATCTATATATATATTCTATGTATAATACTCTGTGATTTTTCTGGAATGGGGATTAGCTCAAATTGTTCAAACAGGCCACCATATACAGGTTGATTTTTTTTTGAAAAAATGAAGTGGGAGTAATTAATTTAAACAGGCGCGCCATGTACAGTAACACTAGATATGAAATAATGAAATACTGTCAGATGGGAAATATAAGATATTTAGGATTAATTTTCTGAAAATCATTCTATTCAACTTTTATT